TAAAGAAACGACAAATCATAATATTGTCATCATCAAGTAGTTTTCACAAAGTTTTCAGCGGCAGCGCACAAGGCGGAGATAAGACTGAAAGTGGTAGACAAATGGGGCCTGATGGCGACAGGGACTTGTCGAGGCAGGATTTGCCAAGCTCTGGCGAGGGACCTCGCCAAATCATTTGGCGAGGAGGGGTCTGAACGCAGTGAATGATAGGGCGCCCTAAAACCCTTACCTAAAGGTAGCGGGAATTTTCCGAGATGCAGATGTTCACTGTGGATAGTAAAGGCACTATATATTAGTGCGTACGCACTAATATATGGTTTTGGGCACTGATATGTAGTGCTTCGCAATCGGGAAGTAGTGCCTTTTTGGTACACTTCAAATTAGTGCCTCAAAAGGCACTCATTTCTGACACACTTCAAATTAGTGTTTTGAAGGCACTTATTTCCGAATGCACTTCAAGTTAGTGTTTCGAAGGGACTAATTTCCTATGCACTACATATTATTAGTGCACAACGGTTTTCTTATCTTATCTCCCCCAGGGCCCAGTTCGGGTCCATGATCCGCCCATGTGGCTGTGACATGATAGCGGCGATCACCGATCTGGTGGCCGTATTTGGGAGGAGAGGGTGCCTCTTACTCGGCCATCACCGCAAGGGCGTGGAAGCACGGATTTACTCGGACTTCGTCGGACATGCACGAACTTGAGTAATCTGGAGCGTAATACGGCCGTGTGGCTGCCCGGTGCCCGGTTCGACGCGTTTTTCGTACTTTAGACCCCACTGGCCCAGTCCTTCCCCTCTTGAATGGGCGTGACGCTGCTCAGGTCCCCGTCCCCGCTTATGCTTGGCAATTTCTTTAATTTCTCTCCCCGTGCTGTCGAGCTGAGACCGCCGCCATGGTTCTAGCTCCTCAATATCGCTGGCGGCGTCCATCCGTCCGAGGACTTGGTAGGCAATACATGCCAGCGGCGAACATGTATATGTTTTAATTCAATACAAATTGTCTTCTCCCTCCCATGGACATTAGTGAACTGCTGAATCCCGAAGAGGTTGTCTAGCCTCTGAGCCGAGTTCTTGGTCTCACAGACGCATTGAATTCCAAGCAAACAGTTGATATTTTGCCGTTGATTGAACAACTGCAGACATTCTCTGAGAAAACAACTCTCTTCGTACCCACTGAAATTCAGATTCACCTGCAGGCAGTCCTAGACCATCTCCAAAAAAAATTGCACACCAATTCCAGATATACCACGGCCACGTCCAGATTGCCCCAATTACACCTATACACGCACAGAGAAATATAATGTCAAATTAACCAGGGAGATGACCCTGGAAACCCTCTACCAATACCCTCTCCATGCTGTTGTCGAGTATCCGGAGACCTCTGCATCTGGATGTGTCGGCCATCTCTTTCAGATGGATCCTGACAATTGGCGCAGTCCTGTTCTCGGCATTGCATACTAAACCTGCTGGCCAAACCACCCGGGGCAACAACAAAACGAACGACTTGCTCGTCAACCCAAGTACCCAAGAACCGGTACCTTGTGTTGTGAGCCATACGACATGTTCGTAGATTTATTCATAATGCTGGCATGCACTCAATGTTATGATAGGCCAAGGATCTAAGGTCTGTCCTTACGTGGACCAAGACCTTCTTTCCCTACCACATACATCTGCCACTCGCGAAGATGTGAAAGAGCGTCTTCAAAATGACCGTGATGCCTGCCTACAATCTTCATCGCCATCGAAAGACGTCTTCCAACAGACGTCGGGGTATCTTGATTGTAGTCGCCCATTAACAGAGGAGACTTTTCTCTTGGCCTCTGAAGAAGAGGAGCGTAATACCAGGGAAATCTACCTTTTCCAAACTCAACATGGTTATCGGCGTCCAGATGGAATTTGTGAGGGTAGAATTGTGTTTGCCTACGATGACAACAATCACCCCTATGTTTGGTATACATCCTTTCCTTACTCTGCAGCCCAGTTACTCACCGTCAACGCCAGCTGCAATGTTATATGTCGAGTCAGGCCAAGGTCGATGAAGTCCGACCTCGGAGTTCGCGGTTTCTCGCAACACTACAAAGAATAGAGTGAGCGACTATTCGGTCCGCAGTTCCGCACAAGACTATAGTCCGGAGTCACGGAGTTCGGAGTTCGGAGTTGAAGTCCGAATAGAGGATGAAGGCAGAGGCTCGACCAACGCCGAGATAGCGAAGAAACAATCAATAATCAAACTGAAGTCCAAAACATATCTAACTAGCTTTTAAACTAAGTACGCTATTGTCTATTGAATACAATAGCGTGTGAGATATTGGTAAGTAACAAACGTTAAACAATAAGGTAGCAAGGTGACTTAGTAAGGTTAAACAATAAAGGACTTCGGGCTTGGTAAGGATGCCCGAGAAAGAAGTCGGACTAGACAATAAGGCCTCGGAGAAATACAAGTCTGTCGGCCCGATGAGTAATCAGTGATTAGAAGGGAAACACTCAGTAGACCTTCATAGCGTGAAAACCCTCTCGGGAGTTGCCGGACCGGGCCGGCCGGGCCGTCTAGTCCAACAATGCACGGATATAACATGCAAGCACTATATTCCTGCCGAAGGAGTATGCTGCTATCAAGGTCTATGCCACGCGTCTTCCACTCAATGAGCGAAGTCATGCTCATCCATTCGGAGGCTTTGTCTTCAATGTCCGTGTGTCTACCTGTGGGCACCGTGATAGCGGGGACAAGTTGTTCTGTGTCGTTCTGCCGTTCGGCATCTGGGAGGGGGATGAGCTTGGCATGCATGAACCAGGTTTTCTGTTTCATCCACGATCTTGGGATGGCATCATATTCCCCTCCTGCAATATCACTCACTTCAACCTGAATTTCAGAGGCGAACACCTTTCACTTATCCTTCATTCAGACAAGTACGGAGACAAGTGGGTCCAGGATCAGAATGCGTGGAGAGCGCGCAATGCAACCTACGTACCACCGAGTTCTCAAGAACAGAGTGAAGAGGTCATTTCGTAAGAATTACAAGAACGGACTCGTATATAGATTCATATTACACTATTGCCAAGAATTGATACAAGGGTGGATTTTTTACATGTTTTCGTTCTTATGATTGAGGAGATTATTGTAATCGAGTGCACGTGTTGGTTGTGTAAGGCCGGCTTTATCCACTGCGTCCACAGCTTCAGGTTCCGTCTGCACACCGATTGACGTCCCTGCTTGCGACTATGAGGGATTCTGGCTCTGAAAAGATAAAATAATAAAACGCACCTGGGACCTGGGGTTCAAGGTACCGAGCGAGGTATTCATCCCTCTCAAACAACGCTACTTTCCCCCACTGTTTCCCAGGTTCGCCCAAATAACCAGGCAAATGAACAAGATCAGAAAGGGGACTGAGTCCGTCTCCCATCAAAAATGTTGCCAAAATAGTATCCTGGCTCCCTTGCTGAGGTTTGTACTCTGCGTCCAAAGTTTCGGATTTATACAAAATGTCCAAATTAACTAGATAGGAATGAGCCAAAAAAATAGGAAATAATGCCTGAACGCACGGAAGTATTGGCAACGAGAGTCAGGAAAGTAATGGCAAAGGGCGTAAGTTCCGCCACCAGGCCAGGTCAGCAAGCAAGTGGAGAGAGGAGAGCTGGTTTCTGCATGCATAGCACAGAAATACGCCAGGATAAGTCAAGGCAGCAGAGAAACTCTCAAAGCAGATGTGGAGGGATACGTTGACCGTAAGTGGTTGGCCTGTGAAGAAAAGCAAAAGGTATAAGCATTACAGTTGACCCAAGTGACGGATGAAGTCGTACCAGGTGATTGTTGCGACAGTTTGCAGCTCCTTGCAGTAGACGACAAGCTCAGTTGAATTCCTTTGGGTGGTAGCGGCCTTGGCATCAAACAAAACATTGGTCGGCTGGTTAACCCCAACTGAGAGTATAGGAGGCATTTTCGAGACGAAAGTCTAGACGTCTTGGTTGCCTTGACTTGGCCATTTTATGTGAGTTGTGCGGCAGTAAAGAAGGAGAAGCAGCAGCCAGCTCTGTGTTTCCAGTGGCGCCGTGATTCATTAACCATCCTTTCGTCCTCGGATTTGAGATTTGCAGCATTGAGATAGACAAGAAAGAGATTCAATCTGATAAAAACAAGCACAAATTACTAATTTTGGACCGACAAACAAGATGTGAAAAAAAATTATTCAGATTCTCAAGCACCTCCTCAAGCCTGCCCCCCGCTAGATCCCTCCTCAGCGTCGCTGTTGTCGTCCAGAACAGGAGTCAGTGATTGGCCCAGGTCCATACAGCTGCCATTGTGGAGGTGGAGCTTGTGAGCCTCGAAAGAACGGACTAGGTTGCATTCTTTGCAGAGGATGATGGCGGTGGAGACGACCACCCAAACATCTGTTGGAACACTGAGGCAAGAGTTCCACTCCAGTAACGCGGCTCCCACTGGCGTATCAAGATACTTGCGTTGTAGGTGTGGATGCTTGCCGTCCTTGAAAGAGCGGAACCGAAACGTTACCCCAGCAGGCTTGGACGGCTCAACTAAAACAAGGTTTGGTAAGAGTAAAGTCGGAAAACATGCCTTCAGCAAGATCGGGATGGTTGGCACACTGTCCTTCTTGAATGTGGGCATTGTAGCCATTGACGGAAAACTGCAATTTGCAGCATTCACAGGCACAGGAAGACCTTACCAAGGCTGTGTAGTCGCCATAAGGAACTCCTAAGACATTATTGAGTTCCCTAACAGTCTGCCCGAGATCGGTTTTGAGAAATTGGAGGTGGTTCCAGGTTCTGTCCATGCACCTCGTATAGATGTGACTGTCGTATATCTGGAGGAGTGGGTGTGGATTGTCTATATCCCATGCGATATGGCACCACTGTCTGTAGTCACATTATGATTTATGCCACAAGTTAGTGCAAGTGGCAATACAATTTACCCACTATTTAGTGTGCACTAAGTGGTAGGGCATTATAATGTGGTGCAGTAAGGAAAATGTCAAAATAAAAGAGTGTTCATGATGGGAATTGAACCCAAAACTATTTAGAGATGGTGTGACTAATACCACCTAAATCAGACATATTAACCAACTATACCAAGAAACTATAGAGTAAGCTACAAAACAATGAGGCTACATCATACCCTTTCCTTTACCCAGCAGACATACTCCTGCCCCTTTGGCCCCGCCTTAGGGGCCTTGTTAGGGTTAGAAGGTTAGGGTTGGTTAGGGTTAGGGGTTAGGGTTGGTTAGAGGTTAGGCTCTCCAGGTACATCAATATTGCTGGTTAGGGGTTAGTTAGGGTTAGGGTTAGAAACACTATAGAAAACATATAATAAGCATAAACAAACAGTTTCAAAGACCTAGGGCAGCACTTTTCCACTTTTCACCCTTGGATTTCCTTAAAAGGACAGTCCCCATTAGGGTACGGAACAAACGGCACACATTTTTTAGAGCCCGCCCAACAATGGTGTGACACTCACGGTGGCAAGTGGCAAGTCGAAGGACATGAAGAAATGTACGGAGAGATATTTCACAAGGATTCGGGTGGTGTGAATGTGAGGAAATGCAATTTTCTATTCAATTTTTCGATACAAGCGGCTACGAATACAAAAAAGGGCAAAGTGGCATGCGCAAAAATGAGCCAGAAAATTCAAGAAGATGCAGCACAATGTACCGACAAGCAAAGAGCGTAGGTGGTCAATGATTTATGCGGGAAACAGGTGAAAGGTGCGGGGAATACGCATTGGACGCGTGCTGGGGACGACAGGTGCGCAGCAAGACCACGCCACCTGTAAGACAAGGTGTTGGACAGCGGGTGGTCGGGATGGGGCCAGACAAGGATCTGCCATCTAGCGACGGTGGAGGGCTTCTGTGACAGAGAGAGACACATGGGGAACGACCTGGGGGTGGCATGGTCGCGGTGAGAGGAAAGAAGAGAGATGGTAACACGTAACGCCCAGCGGAGATCAAACTGTTGTTTGAGATGGCCAAATGGCAGGAATTGTGACTTGCCTTGTAAGGGAATGCTTAGGTAAGAACCCAAGGGCGAAAAGTCAAAGACTTAGGGCAGCTTGCCTGCCCTAGGTCTGGGTATTAGCAGCCCTGGGTAGGGTAAGGGTACCTTACCCTAGCCAGGGACACACAAGCAATATATATGGTCCTTTACTGTAGTGGTTATTGTGTATTATTCTGTATTAGGTTTGTTTGCAGAAGGTCCTGGGTTCAATTCCCAGCATGAGATTCCTTTTGCATTATTTAATTAGTGCCTCACATTATAATGTACTGCATTCTTACTGCACACTAAATAGTGGACAAATTGCATTGCCATCTGCACTAATTAGTGGCCACATTACAATAATGATACAGACACTACTACATATGGATGGTTGGATCATCTAATATTGAACATCAGGCATTGTTCCTTGATATGCAGGGCGGTAAGGAGCTTACCTGCTAACGCACCAGACCAATCAATCTCGTGCATATACTCCATAATCTCAATATCTGGAGGGTTTCTTTAGCTTTAGCTGACGTTAAAGATCTAGAAGAAAAGACGATGAAACGCTGACTATCTGAACAAGCGTGAAATGTAGGAATATGTAAATCAGCGCTTAGGGCACTAATAACACAAAACCCACACTAAACACAAATCCAAACAATAAACGGTGCGAGTACGGGGATCAGACCAAGTATTAGGTCTCTGGTTGTGCTAAACATAAGTAATAGCTATTTACGCGTAAATACTGATACGATTCAATTAGCCGATCTAGGGTCTCAGATGAGGTCTAGAGAAAGCCAAGAGGTGTTTTATCTCGTGGGGTGAGTGGATTAGTCCTTAGACTTTGTTATCCTTTCAGTGTTCTCGGTCCTTTATGATTCTGTTCCGTGTTCTATCAAATCCCTTGGCCTAAATCCTTAGGAAACCCTTGTGAAACCCTTATGACTCCGTTCCATGTTCTGTTTCCTTAAGATTCTAGCGCGAGATGTGATCCAACAACCAACAATATATTGACTGAAATAACTAAAAGAACTCTACAAGTTCCAAGAGGTACTCCGAATGAATACAAGGCTTCCCAAGTGACAATACCAGCAGAGCTGAATACGTCTAGCAAGAAGGGGTGAATTCACTGTCTTCCCTCTCTGAACCTGCCTGTATTTATACAAACGGGTGACACAACATGCAGGACTAATAAATATAATAATAGTACAGGATAATTAGCAACGAGCACGTAATGAACACGAACGGATAATAAAATGGTTAAATAGATACTTTGTTCTGAGACCTGTGTTCTGATTTGCTTCTAATCCAAGAGATGGCATCATATTATGATGTGGATTTTACCCGTGTCCAGCCCTTCTGTAGAACCACGGTTAAATCGTTATATAGTATGACTCCTGGTACAGGAAAACGGATAAACTACTCCAGCACTTGAATGATGGAGGTAGTGGATCAATCTTCCCTTGATAATAACTGTGTTACCCAATCCAGACCTCGGTCCAAGCGTCGAATATCAAACATGCCGTGGATTGATCCGTCCGCTACTACCGGACTGTTTGGGCCGTGTTCCCATTTTATCAAAGGTTCCTTTGTTCGTTGATTCCCAACCCCACTAGTGTACTTTCAGGTGTAATTCGTAGTCAGAATGGATGGTGTGTGTATGTCCTTGGTATAACACTTTATCTCTGTCCCAATTCGATCGAATGGTTGGACATTTAATTACACGTAAATACATAGCGGCTCCCCAGGCCGTTGACCCTCGTGGTATCGGTGACCTGACAAGTCTTTACTATGTAACTAGAGGCGTAGTGCTTTTAGCCAACAGATCGGACCTCTCTATGGCTCTCTATGGGCAAGATATTGATAAACCCTGGTTCCACTTTAGTAAGTGGAACAAGAACGCAGAAATTGGTAAATTTCAGGCTTGGCCATTCTGCATGCTTATCAACGCACCGGAGGTTTTGCGAGCATTTGCAACAGATAGTTTGAAGAAGGACTTGACGCCCGAACTAGACTCTAAGGCAGTGCCAGCCCCGATCGCAGCACGACTTGTGGGTGTTGGCCTGGGGCGAGCACCGCCAGAGCTGAAGTGTCATACACAGCGTGCGTTCGGGTTCAGCATAGCCTGAACTGCCAAGCGTGCAATGGAAGAATGGTTGGATGAAGTTGAGGTGGAGGTAGCAATGGAGGAGTCAGAAGCAGACAAAAACGATGAGACAGCTGAGGATTGGGATGAGCTTGGGGTCGGAAATTCGTCCGTGTCTTCATCCTTTTCGTCGCACTCTTCGAAACCTTGATTTTCTTCTGCACTGAACGATGTCCTCAGGCATGTCAAGTACAAACATAAAGATAAGCACGCACCCATATGCTCTTGCCGGTCCTCCCAAGAGACAATGTATCGAGGTTCCTTGAGAGGTTTAACAACCACTGAATGAGGGATGTAAGCACTGGAGAGAAGTGCGACTGCAACAAAATGTTACCTATGAATGCGCACTGACGATCCATGGCACGGAAGTAACCAGCCATCCCGCCCTCATGTGGACCCGTGAACTGAAGGACAAGAGGCTTATAAGGCTCCCCGTTGTTGCGCGTGTGAGGGCAGTAAAAAGGAGAATTGTCCTTATGCCATATGTGATGAAAACCCAACACTGCGATATCAATAGTTCCGCTATGGGTAGGGCATTGAGGTCTAAACCTTTGGCATCAGGATGGTCTACTGGAGATGGAAAGTGTCGTACCTAGGCACCTCTTGGTATGCATGAGTTACGCCATGGTCCCAAGTTACGAGAAGTCCTTGTTCACGATTCAATTGTCGGAGGCGGTGAAATGCATCAGAAAGATGCCCAGAGTGTCCGGTAGGAAGCCGGCATGCATTACTGGGGGTAGGATGGTGGCCAGGGTGACTCGGGTGACAGTATGGGTGGTAGCGCTTGTGCATGGTGAACTTGTAGAGGATGGAAAGAGTATTAGAACAAGGGCAAAGGGAGGTGCAAAAGCAAGGAAGGCGGGAGACGCGTAAGCAAGGCAAAGTTGACACAAAGTGCGAGACAGCAAGAAAGAAATTGTTGCCAAAGCCATCCTTATGAATTCCAGTAGTTTTCTGGACAACTAATTCAGCCTTTCACGGTGTCTTGACTTGTAGTGGACTTGACAAGGAAGGACAAGAAATTGGCGGAATGAAAACATGAAACAGAAGAAAATGACACAAGAAGGCTCTAGAAATTAGAAGGAAAGTAATGCATCTAGGCGCAGGTAGAGACTGGGAGCAAACTGTGAACAATGACAATAAATGTTTATTTCGGCCTACGTGGGCATACAGGACCATATAGAGCCGCCAATTACTCACTACATTACTCTATGCATCAATTCCACGCATCTGTGAGTAAGATCGCTGCCTTCCGCTGATGCCCGAGTAAGAGTAATGCACTATCTTCTCCGTATTTGGCCTGCCGCGACTTCGTCTTCACTTCCACGTATGTCTGTCGAGATTTCCGTGCTGTACTTGTTCTACTGTGTCCGTCAAATTCTGGATTGCTTGCTCAACTTCCTGAACATCCACCAGCAGCGTCTACTAGGAGGCAATTCCGACCGCGGCATCATTTTTATTAGATATTCTGCCGTGCAGTTTGTGACGGATCTTTCTCGCTCAAGAAAGCAAAATAAGGCATCTGTGTACATCCTATCATATGATGGTTTAGGCTGGGTTGCTAAACAACATTTATAGCTGATAATTCCGACCATGAGCGGAGGAAAAAAGAAAATTTGTCACTGTAAACCGACCTGTTCCGTGCGCAGCGCACCCAACATCGTCATTATAAAAGGACAAGCACCGCTGAACAAGCGCCATCCGAATTGGTATCATCTGATGTTGAAATGGATCCCTTGTTACATAACATGCCTGCGAGCTAACACTGTTACCAACTGAGCCAAAAGGCCACTATGACAGGTTAATCCTGTCATAGGCTGCAGACTATATATACCTGATTACATACATTTTGCATGCATGTAACATCCCTTGTTGTCGTCCGTTCCATCCACAAATCCACATCCAATTTCACAATCTTCATTTGACGCTTCCTTCGACAATAATTCCGATGTCTCTGAT